TTCCAAGTGAGGTGGTGCAGGCTCCCACCCTGGGGGTTTTTAAGAGGAGGTTGGATGACCACCTTACTGGGGTCATTTGACCCCAGTGCTCTTCCTGCCATGGCAGGGGGTCGGACTAGATGATCTGCTCAGGTCCCTTCCGACCCTTGAAACTATGAAGTCTGGTTCTGTTGTAACTTAGTGCAGGGTCTTCAGTCTTCTTATGGGGAGGAAGAGCAAGCTGCTGCTGATACTGCCAAGAAGCAGTCATTTTAATTTTAAGGGGGGTGGGCTCTTAAAGCGCACCTACAGGGGGTTGGTGCTTGCAGGTGGAAGAGTAAATGAGTTTCTGAAAAGAAATGCTTTGCTTTTCTACATTGAGGCTCTGTTGTGTAGCTTTTAATTCTGGAATCTAATTCCCTTGCGAGTGTGAAGGGAAGACAGAGTTGCCAGTTCCACTAGGAGACTTCAAATTCTCCTTCAGACTTTTTTTAAGATCATAATGACAGATGCATAACTCCCTCAGAATGCTAGCACTCTGTGAACACTTGTAAGAAAAGTCTCACGTTCCTCTGCAGTGTGCAGGCATAAGTGAGTAAATTTGGTTTTCTGTTATAAATTAAATGTTTGTCAGTTTTTCTAAAGAAATGCATTTGCTTGGGTTTGGGGTTTTGTTAAAATTGTCTGCACAAGAGATGACCAGGCAGAGTGGGAGTGAAGTGGGATAAGTTTGTCACTACAGGCATCTGTTCCTTTTTTAGGCTGAAGGGTGCTCTTCTGTTCATCACCATTGCACTCATTGGAACTGGCTGGGCTTTCATTAAACACATCCTTTCAGATAAAGACAAAAAAATCTTCATGATCGTCATCCCACTACAGGTGAGAACAGATCTGTAAGAATCCACGAAAACTTTTTACATCGCTTTGGTGATGTCTAGTTGCAGGTGTTCCCTATGATGGCAGGTTGCATTAAGGTACTGGCCATGAAGCTTGTAGTCCAAAATATTAGATTCTGTGAACAAGCCTGTCAACCCATTATTGGCGTGGTGGAGTTAAGATCCAGTCTCTTGGTCTGTGAAGATGCAGTGTCTGGTCACTCAAATTACTTTTCTCCGTGATGAGTGGCAGATACAAGGATTAAACAGTGTGAAAGACAGTAGGTATTGACTACATGAGATGCATTCACTGGTATTGGAGCAGAATTCGAGCCATAATTTGAATAGTCAAACAAAAATCAAGGATGAGTGGAGACTTGGCTTCTGAAATATTGGAACTGGGTGGGTTAAAAAAACCACTTGGCTCAAGAGTCTCTAGAATTGGGACAACAGAAGTAAATATCCCCAGTGTGTTACATAGCTTGAGTTCCCCTTCTGCTCCAGAAGTGAGAGTAGATACAGGAACTGAAAGGGATAGTTCCAAGGCCTGTTGCCTCCAGTAGCTTAGTCTTTTGGTCTTGCTAGTCTTGTTTTACAAAATCAGATGCACAAATCTTAGCTGCCATTTGGACAGCCCTAGAACTGGTGCTTCAGGCACAAAGCACTGCATCTCATACCCAGTTGAATGTGTGGGCCTGGAGTTTGGCCTTCAGTATGCAGTCTTCCTTACATACTTCAGTGAATGCCTTCACTGCTTATTGCTGGCACTGCAGATCCAGCACAGTGGAGTGAAAAAAGATTCTGATCCTTTCTTGAACATCAGCAGAAATTTAATTCCAGTTTGTTCTATTGGTATGAAATCTGTGAAGGTGTCATTGAAAACATGACCTTGTCACAAAAGTTTTTACAGAGGAGGTATTGAGTGTTATGACTTAGTTGATGCACAAGCTCTTTCAAGGAAATTAGGCTGACTTTTTATGGATCTGGCAACCTAGAAAATCAGTGCAATCAATTGCAATTTATCGAGAGTCATTGGCAGTTTCTTTACGAGGCACAATACATTTGGAGCTAATTTGGGTACCAAAGGGAGTACACCTGTGTTAGTAGAGCTGCTTGATCCAGGTGAAGAGCCAGCTATACTGCTGCTGGCACAGGAGCTGCTGCATTCTGGGTTAACTTGGGGGTGTCTGCATCATAGTGTGTTGACCTTTGCAGACATACCCAGAGTTAAGGGTGGGACTCTATGATGGCACTTCAACTCTTTCTTCTTAAACTGATAATGGCTTACTGTGCCCTGTAGGTCCTGGCAAATGTGGCATACATCATCATAGAATCAACAGAAGAGGGAACCACTGAATATGGGCTGTGGAAAGAGATCCTCTTCCTGGTAGACTTACTATGCTGTGGGGCCATCCTATTTCCAGTAGTATGGTGAGTTAATGCATTTGATGCACTTGGTTTTCAGGGTCCTGATTTCTTTGGGCATTGTTGCTGAACTTATGGGTTTGGACTCCAGAGGGTGGGTCTCAAGGTGATAAAAGTGCAGTGTAAAGCAAAGAAAGTCTCACTCCTCACTGAGGTAGAATATTCTTTGTCCAACATCTTGAAATGCATACATTATGTAGGATCGTGTTCTCTTTTCTAGTTTGAAAATTGTTTTTATTTTGAATAAAGGCTTGTCACCTGCAAAAGATGAGAAGTTTTGGTTTGAGAAACTAATAATGTGATATTGAGCTTTGGTTGACGAACACAGCTTGGTAGGTGGGTGTGAATTGGTAGGTGACTTGTTTGGCAGCTTGGAGGTGCCTGTGAATTGAGAAGGCATATTGAGTCCTGTCCCTAGGAAGACCAGGGTCCACAAATTAGCACCAGTTTGTTTTCTTGGCTTTCCACACAGGAAAGCAAAGGCTGAAAGGTTATGGAAACTGAACTTCCCCAAGGTCACTAGGTGTGAGGGCACTAAGAGGTTTGGGTCCGAAGCAGAGTAGGGAACACCTCTGAAGCTGCAGAGGTCTAGAAATGAATCGGAATAAGGGAAACAGATTGGGCAGTGAAACATCCCAGGATTCATTCCTGTAGTGTGAGTATGTGAGCAAGGTCCTCTTGTAACCTCTGCCTTGCTGCCCTTTACTTCTGCTGGAAATTATCTCCTGGAGTAAGAGGGGGTGCCAAGCTGATATGGAACTAAAATGAAGGGCCCTAAAAGGTATGAAGGAAGAGGTTGCTTGCCTAGCTACTATCCATATTTTGTTTTGGTTTTTATGTGGAGCTTTCTTTATGCATCTGAACTTTTTTTCAAAAGTGGTGGTCATTAAAGATAAAGAAGCATGTTTTTGTTCTAGTGATCTGGGATGGAAAATCAAGCAGCTAGATGACAACCAAATGGTTTTGGCTTTCATCCACATTTCCTATGTATTTACTTCGCTGCTTGAAGGGAGGAATCCTGTAAGGAACATTTCCTTGCCCTTGTTCCACTCTTTTTGCCAAGGAAACATTGGCTAAACAGAACTAGGCTAAAATATAAATAACTCTGCTAAATGCTGTCTTTGGTCCTTAAAACAGTCATTTAGCTGCAGTGTTTATCTACTGAATTCCATTTTAGCCTTAATTAAATCAACAGCTGGATTTAAATGAGCAGATATAAATGGGCTGCTGGGTCCTTTGAACAATACAATTGCAAGAATTGTCACATTTTGATCCTTGCTCATCTACTGTAACACAGAGGATGCAAACATATCGGAGGGATAACCTCTAGTTCTGTAAGTGCACAGCACTCTCCATGTTTCTGACCTTACTTTGGAAAGCTGCTGCTCAAGATTGGTATATTGCTCAGCAAATGAAATTGAGGAAATGGCAATAGAGTTCCACCTTGGTTTGCTTTGGTCAAACTGGGTTGTCTTTTATGCAGTTTAGTAGTTGGACAGAGGACTGTCTAAACTCATACTGTTGTTTTTCCATAACATCTGTAGGATCTTTCAGCAAATCATTGTGTGACATCTACCCCCTCCCCAAAAAAACCTGACGGTACTTTCAGGTTTATATATGTATTTTTTATATGGACAGTGTAAATGAAGCTACTTCAATACCAAAGCATTAAGTTGTGTGGTGTTTTTCTTATGGTAAAGGCACATTTACTGGGGCATAGTGTAAAAATTGTTCTCTCAGATTCATAGAGGTTGGAAGGGACCTCATGAGATCATCAGGTCCAGCCCCCTCCCTTGCTCTGGGCAGGAAAGACTGCTGGGGTCAAATAACCCCAGCAAGGTATGCATCCAGTCTCCTTTTGAAGATCTCCAGGGTAGGTGAAATGCACCCTCAGGGCTAGAAATGTACTTCTGCAACTCCCTGGGTACAAAACCCTTTTTCTAGAAAGCTCTTGTATCTAAGGAGTTCCTCTCCTTTTGAACAAATGGCCATATTGTCAAGATATTAGTATACATAGACATTAAGGTTTGGGGTTGAAATCCTGAGCTGTACTTTGTGGATAGCTTCATTGGAAATGATTGGATGACTCATCTCAGCAAGGAGAATAGGAGTTGGTCGTTGAGATTCTGTTCCTTCAGGGTGGCTTTTGAACTTGTGACATTTACTATTTAGAGCCATGAGCTATGATCACCAATTTCAGTGAAAAGAGCTTAAAAAAGCAATAAGATGCCAGCCACTTGGCAGCACTGTGAGTAGTAGCAGAGTTTTCTCATACCAGTGGAAAGTACTAAAATGGATGCTATCCAAGCTGCTTATCTTCTTGGGTAGCTTTCCAGTGGGTAAAGCAGGTCCTACTCATCTGTTTTTCCCAGCAGTAGAGGGCACTCCAGTGCTCTAATTTTAATACATCTGGCTTGAGGAGATGGAGATGGTAAAGAGTGCTAAGTATGCTCTAGTTACTTGACCAAGAAGATACTTCCCCTGCCAGTAACCACTCATGGAATCGCACTGTCAGAGTTGACCAATACTGAGTTAAATTTAGCACTCCACTATTATAGTTAAACTTGTGCTTTATTTTTCAGGTCAATAAGACACTTACAGGAGGCTTCAGCAACAGATGGGAAAGGTAAGTAATCTGCATCTTTTTTTTGCTGCTTCACACTAAATGTCAAAAACTGCTGCTGCCTGAGTTTCACCTTTCAATGAGCTTTAGGTTTCAAGCATCTTAGAAATGTCTGTCCTTGAGTGAGTGAGAGAATGCTGATTTTAAAAAAAACAAAACACAATAACAAGTGCTGCTTGGGTAGCACTGGGATGCTTGTGCCAACAAGGTGTTTGTTACATGACTAACTTCTGTTAGACAAACTCAGAAGCAATACCTAGGTAAAGTGGCATTTCTTCTTGGTACTTTGGCTGCTGGAGTACCTTGTATATAAAACTTCTGCGGAAGAACCCTCCTGTAGCCCCCTCTGCAGTATCTGAATTTCCTGGAAAGCAAATGGAGGTAGAGAGGGCAGATGGCTTGTCTGAAATGTCAGTGACTTCATAGCAAAGCTTGAAACAGATTTCAGGAATTGTTATCCTTCCTTGTGTTCCTGTCCGGAAGAAGGGAACTGAAGGAACCTGTTTAGAAATTAGTGTAAATTATACAACAGTGACTACTAAACAAGCTCCAGCTGTTCCAAAGTTTCCTAACTTGCATATTTCTGTACTTCAGCTTTATGGGGAGCTGGTCAAAGAGGGGAAGTATGTTGGACTTTACTGTCAGCTGCAGAAGTGAGGGGAAAGGGAGGTTGGAGCATAAAACCTTTGCGGTGTTTGGCTTTCCTGACTTGTCCTCCTGCTTCTCTAGGATCAGTACTCAGCTCACATGGTTGCAGATCTCCATCTCTTGAATAAAACTGGATCCCTTTGGCAATACCTAATACTCTCCAATACTCCTGTTACTGAAGCCTAAACCTTCTTTTTCAGGAGGCAACACTGCTAATACGTGCTATTGTCTACTCCTCCTTGTTCCAACCTGTTTGCACGCTTCCATTTAACTACTTTTTATTCTCTTCCTCTATTCTATCTTTGCAGTTGCCTCTTAGCTTCTTCCAGTGTGATATACTACAATTGCAGTTCATGTTAGCTATAGGTAGGGTGACCATACATCCTGTTTGGCCAGGACAGTCCCAGCTTTCGAAAGCTGGGCCCAGCTGGTTGGTGAAAATTTAAAATGAGAGTCCTGGAATCAGAGGAGCATGGGGTGTAGTCCAGCACGAGGAGGCAGAGTGGCTTGGTAGCGGCTCTGCCTCCTTGCCAGGCTGTGCCCATGCCCCTGCCTGCTGCTGGCTACCACTACCTGCAGCAGTGCTGCTGATTTGGGGTGGGGAAGGGGTGGGACAATGTCCTAGATTTCCTTATAGTTACCCTAGGTATAGGGTACATCTGTGATCTAGTGGGCAAATCCTAAAATTAGAAGCTTGGATACTGATTTCAGGTCTGTCACCGTCTTACTGAGAAACCTCAGGTGAGTCGCTTAATATCAGTTTCCCAGCTGTAAAATACAGATGATGGTTTGGGAGGGAAAAAAAAAAAAAAAAGTAGCTTCAGGGATGGAGAATGTTGTAGAAGTATTAAGTATTAGATTTGCTACCAGAAATGCAAGCAAGAGCTGCTAGCAGCAGACTGCAGACTTTGCTATAAGCAGTTCTTTGATAAAACATCATGCCATTGTTGACCCAGAATATGAATCTCCCTTAAAAAAACATATATCTCTTTCTGGTCTGCTTTGTTATCTGTCTCTGGATCAAGATATACTTAGATTCTAAGCTCTCTGGAGTGAGGTGTGTGAGTGTGTATGTACACATGCATGGTGCCAAGCCCTGTGACGTTTCTAGGTGCTGGTGCATATGCCTGGTTGTCTGGTGTGTCCTGAGTAGAACGCTGTTTTGAAATGAATTCTGACAATACGGAGATGTCTTAATTCTGTGTCTAGGGCCTACCTGCCTTGAGAGTGATGATCAGAGCCTGAGATCCAGTGTAATGGTAGCAGATCATAGTGCTGTGCAGTTGGCCAGTCTTTTTCACAAGATGGTGCTGTAGAGTTTGCTTAATGTTCGAATGAACTGACTGAAAGAGATAAATGAAGTGGCTGTCATCAGAGGTACCCAACATAGAAGAGTTGCCCACAAAGCACGGGACATGAAAATCAAGATTCAAGTAATCAGTTCTTTTGGGAAGATACGTTTCAGTTTCAGGTTGTAGGTTGGAAAGGTACAACAGGTCTGGCTCTTAACGTGTCTTATAAACATAGCTACGTCCCTCTGACTGACGCAACCTCTGAGCTTTTTCTCTAGTTTCTTTATTTTTGGTTGTGAGACTCCTGTTTGGTATGGCTAAACACTGTTCAGTTTGGCATGGATATTTGTTGAGCACCAACAACTGTTGTTACTGCACCCAAGAGCAACTCATTTTTCAGAGTGAGGGGCTGTGACTTGATGCAGTGCAGAGGTATGGCTGTTTTTACCCTTTCTTGCTGCATTGTCTGAACAGATAAGCTGCATCTACACAAGTGTGGACATTTGTTTCCCCAGGGACAAGAAGCAGTGGCACACCTTGTGCCACTGTTGCTTCTCCTTGGGGAACACTTGTGCCACGTGCCCTCTAGCATGTGGCAGGTTACCCTGGGTGGGGTAGGGGAGGCTGGGACCAGCAAGTGTGCTGGCCCCAGGAGTTGTACCTGGGGTTCTGGGGGCCTTGGGGAGCTGCAGCCATGGCAGTCCTGCTGCTTGGAGCCTGGCTGGCAGCTAGATCTCAGGATCTTATGGCATCAACCCTCCCATCCCTTGCGCTGCTAGCTTGTAGCGGGGGAACACCTGAATGTGTGGTGCATGTCACTGTAGAAGGGTCTGTGGGTCTGCAGGGCCACATGCCCATGCTCATCTGTATGTGCTCATAGAATGCATCTTTTCTCATAGGTCAGTTGCTTGCCATCTTTTTATAATGAAAAAGAGCATTGTGCCAGAAAGATTATTGCTTTAATTCTTAGTTAAGATACTATTGGGGGCACCTGAGATGATGGGGCTTCATGTGACAGATATAAATGCAGTCATTAAAGGTAAAGTAATTATGCTACTGGTGATAGGAGTCTCAGGAACGTAAGTGGGAATCCTTCTGGTGTGAGGATTAACAGGAGCCTGGTGCCAGCAGTAGAATTTTGTGACGGGTCCCACCCTAGCTGACTAGTTCAGAGGATGAAAGATAATTTTGTTTGCATTATCAGCCAGACTTAATTTGCATTAATTTTTTTTTTAAATATAAAAGTATATGCTTAGTTGAAATAATTATGGTCCTTTTCAATTCTGACTCTTGGGTAGTTCATACGATTGCTCTGGAGGCCCTATCTAGTCGTGTAGGAAAGATGTGACTGGCCCTGTCTGTAAATGGACTAGCATTCCTTTCCTAGATGAAGGTGAGAGAGTCTCTCCTTATTAACTGGTGAGAGCTACTAGATCTTCTATCATGCACAGGAAGCACAGTGCTGCATGTCCTAATCTGAATCTTGCAGACAGTGCAGTCCTGGTTGAACTGCTTGTCACCTTGCTGGTCTTGCTAGCATTACCTTTGAGACTTCCCCTGTTTCTCTCTCAAACTTCATTGATTTCTAGTTTGTTTTTTTTTAAATTTTGGCTTCCTCACCTCCCTGTGACTGAACCCCATTATCACAGCGACTAGCTTTTCCATTTCCCCCCTTTGCACCTTGCCAAACTGTGCTCTTAAGGAGGTTCTAGCTACACCAAGGTCTTGATTCTAGAGGAGTTAGTTTGGTGATTGGCTCTAGTAACACTGATCAGCATAAACTGGTGGGCAATCAGCTCCATTGTCCCAAATTACAAAACCACTTCTACATATTAAGCTCGGTACCAATTCACTGATTTTATTTAATGTGACCTTATCATTAAACTCGTCTAGATTTGCTTGTGTTTGCTTGGTTAACACTGCCATCCAGTTTCACGTCTTCTGTGTCCCTAGCCTTTATCTCATCTCCAGCATGCCAGCAGCTGGAGATGGTCCACCCCACTTTCTCTTATTCAGTTACCCTACTTCCTGTCTCAATCTTTGCAACCATACCTTGTTGACACAGAGGTCTCTGCTTTGCCTCTACCTCCTAGCTGCTAAATACTCTTACCTTATAACCTTCCCACTGGTGAAGAAGACTTGGCTGCGTTAAGGAACCACGTACAATTGTGATTCCTGTGCTGTTTGGAACAGTTGGATCAGGTCCCCAGGGGTCTCTTCAGCACATTATCCTAGCAGTCTTTCCCGCCCACACGTCCACTTAGCTGCATGTCTTGAACTATTTTAGCCGCATCTCAAACTGCGTATTAGCTAGTAGCCCCCCAAGTCTAGTTCAGTCGTGACTGTAGTCTGACTAGAATAGAAACTCTAAGTAAAAGGCTGCCTGACCAGTAATTGTATTTGCCAGTCACAGCTATGCTTGTTGCAGGCTCACTGGACCATCTATTTGCTCAGTAAAAGGGCCACTAAATGCACAGGTGGTTCAAGGCCAGTTAGCTGAGGTTAACTGTAGTGCATGTCTGGAAGAAGGAATAGTAGTTGACACGTGACTTTTTCCTATTGTTCTAGGAAAAATTCTTAGCTGTGTGGGCAGGAGAGACTGCCAGCGGGGTGTGGTTCAGACACAGTACCTGTACAATTGGAGTTGCTACTCTGCCCTGTCTGATCTTACGCCTGTAAGGCAACCTTTAATTCTCTTAAAACAAAATGACTGGCTGTTGCCCTGTTTAGCAATGGGTATAATCATCCCTCTAGGCTGTTTTTTTCCTCTCTTCCTAGTGTTTGGCAGTGCATTTTAGAGCCTGTAACTTGCTTTGTGTGTTCCTTGCCAGCTTTTAAAAGCTTGGCTGTGCTTCTGATCCTTCCCCAAATCTTTGCTTTCCAGACAGGATTCATTGGGCTGTCTGATTCACTAGTTACTGAAGATCAAATTTGTCTTGTTCACAAATCTAAATGCTTAGCAGTTTCCTCTGTTGGGTATGAAGGGAATCAACCCTGCAGTGAAATGGCTTGTATGCTTTGTGTGTCATGCATCTACACTCACATTTTAGTCTCAGGATGTTGCAAGAACTATGCATGGAGGAGCAAAGGGAGTACTGTTTAGTAAAATTTCTGCTTTTGAGACACTTTCCTAAATTCATGGTTGCAATACATGTCCCCTTAAACTTAGTAACTTTACTCTTCGGTATGCTGAAAGCCCTCAGTATTGTTGGACAGGGTGAAGAAGAAGAATACTGCTGCAGTTTTTGTTGTGCCCCTCTCATGTGTATGTGAAGAGAGATATGAAAGTTGGTGCAGTCTGGTCACGAACTGCTAGCTATTTTCTTGAAGCACTGCAGCATGCCAAAGTTGGCAGCAATATTAGAGGAAATACTTTGCAGCTAGTAGCTCCCAGGCAACCTTCCCTGTATGCTCTGCAGTGGGCAGATGAGTTCCTTCATGCCTGCCCCCTAGTTCAGAAAAACTTGATCGCTCTTTACTTTTAGCCCCTCTACTCCTGCTGCTGCATCAAAGAAACACTGATTGAAGGGCATAATTGTGCTGGATCCAGAGAACCGTCTGCTCCTAATGGCGGCAGCCGCTTATGTTGGAGGCAGGGGTACCTGGCAGGATCTGGCCAGAGCACAGCTCTGAAGTTCTCAGCAAAAAGAACCAGACTGATAGGTCTGTGCTATTATCAAAAACCTTGAGTGGGGCGGGGGGGGGACACACGACTTTTTGAGCATAACTGAGGGGATTGTGAGTTAGGGGAGTAGACCTGTCAAGTGTTTCCCTTGGAGATCTGATAATGTACTTGCAGGTGTCACAGATCTAAGTTATAGGTTGTATGACTGCTCTGATAGTTTCATGGCCTCACGTTTAGAGGTGCTAAAATAGGCCATTTTTTCCTTGAGGTTTTTACTTGCGAGAGTGCGTGTGACTTGAAGCTTGTATACCAAACTCTCCTCTTTTTCCTACTAAAGTTTAGACTGCTGATCTCTGCGCCCTGCTTGATGCGTACACTTGGTACCAGAGCATACCATACTGGCTGCCATACTAACCCAACCCGGCTTCCAAACTCCACTTCTGGCCTTGGAATGTTTTACTAGCACTGAACCTGCAGCGACTTGGGGCAGTTGTGTTCTTCAGTTATTCTTACAATGGGCAGCGGGAAGTAGGCACGTACTTTGCTTGACTCTTCGGGGATAGGAAGAAGGGAATAAGGAATCTATCTGGAAAGCTTCTAGTGTATTTTCTGCTCTTGGCGTGATGCACTTCTAGTAGGTTAGCATGCAGTGCATTCTAGCTTTTTCTTAGTGCTGTTTGTTCCACTGCATGCCACACAGTTGTTTGGACTGGGTCTGCTTGTGTCCTGAGCCACAGTCCTTATTGCTATTGCATAAATGTTCTGTAGCGGTCAGACTGACTTGTCAACAAAGTTTTGTCTGCCCGCGTGCTGGGCTGTGATGGACAGTCTGACCTTTTTTTCCACCTTTGTAGCCTGTTGTAGCATCCGAGATCAGCGTAGTAGACACTTGGAGCGAGACGTTCTTCTTTCCAGACCTTTGTGGTGTTATATTTTTGATCAATGCACATCTGAATATTGCAGGTACAAGCTGTTTCAAATGGAGATGGAGAGGGGAGCTGGCAGAGCCAAAATGTAAGTGTTATTACAAACCAGTGAGACACCTTCCTGGGAAGGGCATTAATTCATTAAATCCCTCCAAGGACAGGGTGAAACATGACTTTAACTTTTCCTAATTAATTATTGCACTTTGTAGAACCTGAGGGGCCCTCCTTCAGTTCTCTGTATTGCTCTCCAGTTAAGCACATTGTTCCTTAAAGAACCACTGCATACTTGCCATGTTTCAGGGGTGTTGTTTGTAGCTGTGTTGGTCTAAGGACATGGGTAGACAAAGTTCTTTGGGTAAATGTGATATCTTTTATTAGACCAACCAAAATGTAATTGGTCAAATAAAAGATATCACTTTTACCTGAAGAAACTATAACAATAATTTAGGGATCAGTTATAGCAAGCCTGCTTATGAGCAACTCTTATTAACCGCCTGTGTCTCTATTGCAAGACCAGACCCATGAGTGTTTAAAGCTATCTTACTTAAACCAGAGAAAGAGTGTAACATCAACTTCTCACATACTTGCCAAGCCTTCATTAAGTTATGTGCATCTTGTCCTTCTCCAGCACTTCTGTCTTATCAGAGCTCTAGATAGTAAGCCTGTCTGACTTCTAGGTTATAAATGCCAGCTGCTGTCCTGGCATAAATTCCCTCTACAAAAAGTTGTCAGTGGCTTTGTATGTCCCATTCTAGTTACAGTATCTGGGCCTTGTGGATAGATGGGTTTTAAACTTATTTAGCGATCATTCACGGCAAGACTTTGACTGGGTTGCTACAGAGTTGAGCATATTGAGTTTGCAAAAAAAAATTGCATAAGCTACTGATCACCAGTACTCGTGGAACTGCCATATTGTCATTTTTAATCTCTTCAGTGCAGGACCATACTTTTAGTTCAGGGGACAGAGAAACTGGCTGATCCTCACTGCAGTACACAAACACTGGGTCTTGTCCCTGGTGGAGTGAGATGGTGTCTGAACGCAGCTGAAGAAAGCAGCACGTTCTGATTATTTGAGCAAGCTAGCTTCCTGTAACATTTTCTTCATTTCCTTTCATAATTGTTGTAGTTTCTGTCTTCCTCATCTCTCCCCAAAGCACAGGTGAGCACTGGGTATTGTGAAGCTGCATATTGATTATCCCTAGACAGGGATTTTTCAGAGTGGAGTTCAGTCCCTGTCAACTCGGGGAATATGCATGATGAGTTTTAATTGGCAATCAGGTCTTTTGCTGTCGCTGCCCTTTTCCCCCTGTATGAATCATGTAGAATAACTCCTGCAAATGATGAGTCAAGGACTACTGAGCATTGATAGACTGGAAGTTTGAATCACAGCAGCGCTGCAATGCCTGCCCCCTCACCCACCACAAAAATTAAGTCAGAGCATTCTAGTATTTGTGTTCAGGCTTTGGTGAGGGATTTAGTGAGAGAAGGGACTGGGGGGTGGGGAACTGACACAGGAGCGTATTAAGTCACAAGCTCTCGGTCGTCACTCAAGCTTAATGTTAGATGGTGTTATGCTGCGTGGCATATCTTACTCTGATCACTGAATAACTCCTTCAGAGTGGGACATCAGGGGAACATTGTCAGTTCCCATGCTGCACTCATACTTATGAGTAGGCTTGGCAGATCTGAGTTTTAATAATTTTGACTGATAGTATCAATGTTTATTTTTAAGCATTTATTTAGATTTTTATTTGGTTAAAATGTTCAGGATTGCTTGAAATCAGGGGTGTAGAGGGCAGACAATTTATTAATGACAGCATACTATTATTAGTAGTACAGTTTAACCGCCTGCTGTGACAAATGTAACCATCACCAGCTGAGTGGCAGAGCTGACATCAGTCCCGGCTCTGCTCATCTGTAGCTCCCTCGTCTGCTCTGCCACGTCGTCTTCCTGTGTTCCCAGTCCCCTGGGGTTTCTGGGAGTTGCAGTCCAAACTCCAGTCAGCATCGTCCTGTCATTGCACACTCCATCAGCCATCATTTTTCTTGCATTCCCTTTCTATAAATTTTGACGCTTACTGATAGAAATAATTTTTCATTGGCCTGTGTGTGAGGTGAAATCAGTGTTTATCAACATTCACCGATTTAAAAATTGAGTTCTGCCAAGCCTACTTATGAGCAGCTCTTATTAATAGCTTGTGTCTTTACTGCAAGACTAGAGCCATGAGTATGTAAAGCTATCTTACTTAAACCAGAGAAAGAATGTAATTTTGACTTGTGGCAAGGAGGAGGAGCAGCAAAACTAGTTTCATTGGGCATTTGTACACATGCACGTGCCGCAGCACCAAATGCTTTTAAAAGCACCTGGTGTTGTGGTGCATGCATTTGTATAAATGGCAAAATGCACATCAGTGCTGAGAAAATGGCAGTAGTGCACTTTTTGAACTAAAACACACTGAAGGTGTGTTAGTTCAAAAGTATACCACCACCATTTTCTGCATGTTAATGTGCATTTCACCATTTATACAAATGCATGTGATGCAGCGCCGGGCACGTCAGCTCATGTGCTCTGCAGACTATTAATAGAGTCTGCTCCAATGCGCCAGATTTCCATAAATACTATTAGTACTAATTGTTTTCCTGAAGCTAAGCATGGTATGTTTGGTGAAGAGCCTAATCTGATCTGACTGGGATACAACCTTTTGGTTTTGGCCACTTGGAGGCAGTGACAAGCTATAAAGGTCAGACTAGCACATTGCAGCCAGTCAGAATGCTTTGCGGTTTTGCTGTTCTGTACCTTGCTGGCATATTGGGTACTTGGTTAGAGATAAGTTGGGTTGGATAGGGACTAGATTCCATGAGCCAGGTAGTCCCTTCCAGTCCTAGTTTAATTGAAGGGGAAGGTGTAGAATGCTCCAGTTGCTTCTAAATCAAGGTAGTATATACTTAGCTTATACAACTTTACCTACAAACCAACTGCTTACCCACCTCCTCAGTCATGCCCTGGAGACTTTCAAGTTAAATTAGCCCTAGGCTGGTGAATCTTAAGTGTGCTGTTCTTGAAGGTTTCTATGCATGTTACAGGAGGCTTTCTGCTGCTCATTTTCAGTGCTCCAAGTAAAGTGGAATCTGCTTTTGGCTGTCGCGTTACCAGTTCCAGACTTTGACCTCAGTCTGTTCTAAATGCAGCTGACAGTATCTTTGCTGTACTATATATAAAGGGACCCTCGAGTGCAGTTGTTGCAGTGAGCTGGCCAGTCGAAGATTTGGTCTAGTTAGTCGCAGCTGCAACAACATGGCGCCTCTTTCTGATGCTCAGTTTCCTCCTGCTTGCACTTGAGTCCATGGAAGACTTTATACGTACGCAATACTAGATGCATCTGCACCTGCCTTTTGTAACAAGTCAGGCTGTGTGGGTGGCTTTGTGTGTACCATGTTGCATGTGTTCCTTTAAAAGCAAGAAAGTTTGGAGGGTGTGTGTGTGTGTGTGCGCGCACACACACACACACAACAGGAGAGATGGCTTTGGGTGTGTTCAATGGGGCTTTCCTACATGTTGAGACCTATTCATACCACTGACACGGCAGTAACACACCCTGCTTACCAGGCTGTTTCATTGTCTGCCAGATGAACCAAGGAATGATGACAGGAATGTTCGTAGCCCAAGATTCAAAAGCCTGGCTTTCTAGAGCTGTTGTCAGAGACGACTTGATGCACAACATTTTTGTCTGTTCCAGACAACTGTTGTGTTGTACACTGACAGCAGTAGGCGAGCTGAATGCACCGATATAGTGATTGTGCTGTAGTGGGCTGCATGCTTTATAAGAGCAGTTCTTCCTTCTCTGTCACTTCATGGCCATCTCGTTGTCCCTGATAGCCCTGTTGGTGAATGGGAGCTGAGTATCAGACCTGCCACAAAAGAGCCATCCAGGAAGCTGGAGAGTGTTGGATCTATAGGGCTCACCTGTTAATCTGGGTTGCATTCTCTGATATTATTAAGGTTCATTTGCTGCAGAGCTTGCAAATGCAGTTTCAGCAAAAGGGCTTAGCAGTGCTGCTCCTTATTAAATTTTGCATCCAGTTAAAACGTTAGACATGGCAGAAAGCAGTTCTTGCTACGTAAACCCTCTTAGGATGCTGCTTGAGCCAAATGGTGTAGCTTTTTTTGACAGGCAGCAAACATTTTTGTGTAAACTGGACAAGTTTGCTCTGTTCCCTGCAGCCTCCACAGGCATTCTGACTAGAAACCTATGTTCAGTGGCTCTGGAAGTAGATTGTATCTATGTAGACTGTCACAGCGGGGACCCTTTGCCCTTCGTGATGTCACTAAAGCACCGGGAGGCCACATGCATAATTCCAGCACCACCTGGAAGAGCCTGAATCTCAAACCGAGTTTGACAGCTGCTCCATCTGTTGCTGACCTCCATTCTCATCCACATCAGTATATGCTGCATTCAGCAAGAGCCTACGTAATCTTTTCAATAAACAGGCCGTTTAGCCCCAGGGCCTTCGCTTGCGCAGCTTGGGACTGGAATGCGGGGATTTGTCATGAGAACTATTGCTCTAATATGACTTCAGATATCAGCCTTAAATTATGGCTGAGGCATGACTGATTGGTACAGGAAAAAGCTTTATTGCTGTAATTTTTTTTCTTGTGGCTGACAAGGTAAGTTCTGCAGTATTTCTAAGAAACCCTGAGTAACTTTTGTACTGTTTTTGCCAGTTTTATTCCTCACATCCTGAACTGATCCACCTCTCTTACAGTTCAGTGCAGTGTTGTTGCTTTTTTTTCCAATTGTTAATAGGCAATTATCCTTCTGCTCAACATGGCAACAGAGCATTTTATGCTGTTCAGCCCCATCACAAAAGTTACACTTCCTGATGAAAGGGGGGGAAAAAAATCTCTCTTAGGCTGTCCTTTCTGGATGGATTAAGCAGAGTGGCCTAGGAGGTCAGCCACTCCATTTTGAAGTACTCAGTGCTTTGAGGGGTAATGGGAAGGCTAGAAGTGCTTATGTTGATGGCGTGTGAACCATTTTAGCTTGGGAGTGTTAATGTATCTGCTTTTGGTGAATGGAGAGTGCGGAA